GAAGGTGACAATACAACTTCTGATACACTAAAGTGGCTAGCATGTGAGCCAAACTTTGATGTGATATGTTGGGGTGGGTATGATATAAATAACTATTCATTTTATACAAAGGGAGAAGATGAAATAAGCACAATGCAAAATAGTGGAGTCATGGTGGTGGCTGAATCAATGCATTTCTCGAGTTCAAAGGATAAATATCCGATAACGGCGTCAATGGGCTACTTTGGTGTAATTGAAGAGATTTGGGTAATAGATTACACGATATTCAGAGTACCTATTTTTAAATGTAAGTGGGTTGATTTTAATACTGTCATCTTCACCGACGATCTTGGATTTACCTTGGTTAACCTTGAAAATACTCGTTATACCGAAGAACCATTTATCATGGCATCTCAGGCAAAACAAGTGTTTTATGTCACCGATCCCGCTAACAAAGGATGGTCAGTGGTTCTACAAGGAAAACCCATGTATACTTCTCATGGGAATGATGAATTAGTACTTGATATACCAGTAGACACCATGTTTCTCTTCAAATATGCCAAACTTGAGTGTTAATGTAGAAATAGATGATGTGCATGCCACACGTTATGACCATATGGAAGGATTTTGGGAGAATGTTCCAACTTGATAATGTATGCACTTTTTTTAATGTATTATTTTTTAATGTATGCACTTTTTTGTTTATCTTCAGTCATATTGTCTAAATTAATAACTATTATTTTTTTCTTTGAACACAGATATGGCAGATTCATCTCGCTACCCCTCCTCCTACACAGTCCCCCTCCTACACAAGGTGGTGATCAAAGTCAGCCGTCTACCAGGAAAAGGGTAGGCGTGCTACACCAGTTGAGGGACTTGAATATCAGCCAGTAACTCCGATCAGAAATTGCCTATCCAGTTTGACATGCAAACAGTAGAGCCACAGAGAGCACAGATGCTAGATTCACTAGCTATGTGGCCTTGCTTGGGAGAAGCAAGGTTAGTATTCTTATTGAGGATTGGGACCATGTTCCGAGACACCGAAGACGCAGATTTGGCAGAGTATCCCGGTACCTACTCTCATTGAGCATTTAACATGTATATATATTTAACTTTTTGGGAACTTCATGTTATTTTTATTATGTAGGTCACATATGATGTCCCTAACACCACTTTGTTGAGGACAAAGTGGATCTCATATGCCGGGGAACGCTGGAGAGGTTTTAAGAGTGATCTCGACTAGTCGATACATATATGGGGAATTGAGCAACAAGAACCCATGTGACCAAGATCAGCTTTTGGATGAGGAGACATGACAGGCATTTCGGACTCAGCCGTTTAGACGTTAAGTTTCAGTGTTAGCACATTTGTCATTTGTTTGCAGTCATTTTTTTTAAATAGAGGTTTTAAATCTGGTATTTAACATGGAATGCAACAGGCCAAGCGGCGAAGGCACAGGATATTCAAAGAAAGAATATCCACCCCCACAGAGTTGTTTCGTGGGGGTTATGAGAAATTGGAGGAGAAGATGATGAAGGAGACATCTTCAAGTCATCCTTCAGATGAGTCGGTTGTGAGTGCTGTCACTCACCCTTCACGCCATGATAAATGGAAGAGAGCTCGCCAGAACTCATCAGGGAATTACTTATCCGAGCAAACTAATGTTGTAGCTCAACGTATTGTAAGTAGCATATCCTAAACTAATTATATATTTGCTACAATAAGCATATGTATTTGTTAAAAAATCCTTCCTTTGTGTTGTAGGATGAGTTGGTTGAGCAGAGCACTCAGGGATCATTCCACCCACATGGCCGTCAGGATATATTGGCAGTGGCCATTGGTACCCCAGAGCATCCTGGACGTGTTCGTGCTGCTGGGCGAGGGGTGGGCATCAGACAGTACTTTGGTGCCTCACCCGTTGCAACTCCTACTTTGAGGCAGCTGAGTGAGTTGGAGTTTGAGTCCCTCAAACAACAAATTAGGAAGGAGATTCGAGATGAGGTGTACTCTGACTTGAAGGCAGAGTTATTGAGCTCAATGCGAGCAGAGTTGGCATCTTTGTCCTCTCAACCTTCTCGTCCCCGCACGAGAGGCATCCCCGATTCATGTCGACATAAAGGAGAGTTGTGATGCTCCTGATAGAGGGGCAGAGGTTGCTCCTACTGACACTGCTGACTGTGAGTTGTATGTTGCGGGTCCTCCCGAGCATTTGGTGGCATACGGTACGTATTATATCTTTGACATGTATTTGGTACACTGTTAAGCATTATATAGTCTAAAATATTTTATCATTTGTTTACCTTAGGGAAAATGTATGCATTGGGGTCAATCATCCACCACCGGAGTATTGGACATGATATGATAAGAGTGGTGGTTGTAGATGTCCGGATGCCGTCGCCCCAATCCCTATTCCCACCGAAGAGGTTCAAACAAGTGGGACAAACACCTGGAAATTTTATCTTATGGCCAGTTTCATTAACAAGACCCATCCCAACACATTCACAGGTTGTGTCATGCATTTATCCCTTTTACTTATTATTTTTTTGATAGGTTGATGTATATTAATGTTATTTATTTTTGGTACTTGTATAGAAAGAGGCTGAAAAAGCAAAGGAAGTTGTGCATGAATCACCACCACCACCTACTGCTTTACAGCGACTCGGTGCACTAGCAGCGACTATCGGGACCACTCCCATACAGTTAGATATGCCACCCGAAGTCGTATGCAGGACCCAGACGATCCCTTTTTTCTTACTCCAAAGGGATATTTTTGATCTTCTCGCTGGTACTGATATGCTATGTGTATCGAGTGTTGCAGCTTTGAGAATTGTAAGTATATTTACATATTTTTTATATTCTCACTGGTACATTATTTTATAACTTTATTTATTTTCAATGTTGAAGGTATTTACATCATTTGTGTGTTGAGAGGAATATTGCCTTTATCTATGGATTTGTTGACCCTGTTGCCATTCAGTCCATTGGGAATAAAGCTGAAGAGGTGCAAACGTACTTAATAGAGACATTTCAAAATGGGGGCAAAGAAGTCTACTTAGCACCTTACTTGCATCAGTAAGTATACATCTTATAAATTAATGAACATTTATGTAAAACTGAAATTTTACTAATATTATTTCAACGTGCAGGGGTCATTGGCAGCTCATAATCATTGTTCCTCGGCAATTTGTTGTGATTCTCTTGTGTTCATTACACAAGAAACCAAATGATTTGGATATTAGAAAGCACATAGACGCGTAAGTTTGGTTTTTTTAATTGTTGTATCATATGTGCACTTACACCAAAATTATTTGTCCTTTTGTAGAGCTTTGGAAGCTCACCTAAGGTTGCAAGGCCTTCCATCTCATGCTAGAAAGAAGTTGACGTATATTGCACCAAAGGTGACCAAACACCTCTTATTGTGGTTCAATTTGTCATTTAAAGTTAAACTGACATATATTTAACTTGTAGTGTCCACGCCAACCGGGAAGCCATGAGTGCGGGTATTGTGTGATGAAGCACATGCACACCATCGTAGCCAAAAATATTATGGGCTCATGGAGGGAGGTAAATATACTATAATTAAGTCAAATATGCCAATTATGTAAATGGTTTCTAAATCTGAAATGTTTCAATATGTAGGCATTTACAGACTCATCTCCAATGAAGATTGAAGTGTTAGACGATATTAGAGAGCAGTGGGCTTCTTTCCTTCTAAGTATTCAATCTTCATAGCAAATTTGACTTGTAACAATTTTGATTGAATTGATTTAAGTTAGCAAATTTACATTCGTTTAAGTAAATGAACTGTCTAGAACTGAGGTACATATATTGATTTCAATATGTTTCATATGTACATATCTGTCTGGAACTATATATGAACTGTGCATATCTGTCTGTACAAGTATTTGGATCTGTGAATATTTGTCTGGAACTGTGATGAATATGCAGGTCTACTCGAAGAAAGGTAGCATCTGTGAAGAAAATGCAGATTTTTTTTAAAAAAATAACACTTTCTACGTCGGTTATGTCATTACCCAACGTAAAAAGTACTTTCTACGTCGGTTAATGACATAACCGACGTAGAAAGTTTAACATTTTATGTCGGTTATAGACATAACCGACATTGATAACACATACAATCACGGTTACTGTTAACCGATATAGATACTGGGGTTATAGAAAGATAGAAAGTAAGACTTTCTATGTCGGTTATCAGTGTTAACCATCAGAATACCCTATGACCGATCAGAACCAGTTATGACCGATCAGAATAGCTCATAGAAAGTAAGCCTTTCTACGTCGGTTCCCTGACTAACCGACGTAGAAAGTCTTACTTTCTACGTCGGTTATCAGTGTTAACCGACATAGAAAGTAATATGACAGGTCAGAATCAGTTATGACCGATTATGATAGCTCATAGAAAGTAAGTATTTCTACGTCGGTTCCCTGCAGTGGCGGATCTTCTTGGGAGCTGAGGGGGGCCGTGGCCCCCCCAAAGTTTTATAACTCCCATGTAATTTATGATTTTGGCCCCCCCAAACTTAATAAATATTTAATATATTTACTTGTATATTTACAATTCTATCCTCTCAGCCCCTCCTCAATTTTGTAACTCTCATGTAATTTATGACTTTGTCTCCCTCAAACTTAATGATCATTTAATATATTTAAATATATATCTACAATTTTATCCTTTTACCCTTTCATCTTCTTTCTTCCTTTTATATTTATTTATTATTTATTAATAATATATTATTTTATATTTATTATTTATTAATAATATATTATTTGGCCCCCAAGATCAATGGTCAAGATCCGCCACCTGGTTCCCTCGACTAACAGATGTAGAAAGTCTTACTTTCTACGCTCGGTTATTAGGAACCGACGTAGAAAGACTTACTTTCTATGACCCCATATCTATGTCGCCGCTTTAACCAACGTAGAAAACCCATTTTAATCGACGTAAAAAGCCTTTTCTGCAGTAGTGCAAAAAACTCTAGAAAAAAATAATAATCATAAAATCATTTGTAACTTAAACAAACAGATATATCTCCAGCTCCAAGCACATTCAACATGAACTATGTAAGAGCATATTGGGCTTTGATGGCCAATTTCAAATCCGCTGAGAAGAGAGGAAAAAAAAAAATCACTTTTTGTTGTTTGGTGAAAAATATGAAACAAGAAATAAAAAGGGATTATCTTTTCTTTATTTTCATTCTTTAGATTTTCTCTCCAAAACCAAACTAATGTGAATATAATCATGTGCTTGGAATTTACATTGATTAGTAACGTAGTAAATTATTAAAGAAAGGAATAAAAGGTGTGGTGTGTCACGTGAAAGATTTCTATATAGAATCTATAAGGTCAAGCATTTTGCACCTGCTTCACTTTTCTTTCTTTCCCAATAAACTTTATAGGTATAATGCAAATCAAGCTGAAACTTCTCATAAAACTTGTTTATATACATACTAGAAAATAAATCTACCCTCAGAACATACATAGGATGCATTGCAATCCCTTGTTCTGGAATATGATCATTATCCAACAATATTCACTCTAGGAGAAAGCAATAACTTGATCAAGGATCATAAATAGGAATATAAATCCTCGTCATAACAACTACTATTTTTATTTTTAATTTAGAAAAGAGATTGAAGTTCATATTCAACAATCTGGGTGACATCGGTAGCAGGAGTATTATCTGCCACTGGTTTTGGCTGAAGACAACGTTTCTCATAATAGTGGTACCCAGCTGCACCAGACAACACTGCTAAAGTTAGCGCCTGAGAATGCATCCTGCGACAACACACCATTCATCAATTGCATTTTCAATATTAGTACAACACACATCTCTTTATTCACGTGGGGCATAAGTTAAAAAATGGTTTTTTTGAGAAAGGTATATACCTGGCATGGATAAGCCTGAGACTTGGCTTCATTGGCGACTTTGTGCATGAATAACCCAAAAGTGATGCTCCAATTCCAGCTGCCCAGAGTGCCCCTGTAATAATATTAAAATTAATTCAAGACCCATTTCTTTAAGATTTGATCATCTTTTATATCAGATCATGCAGTAACAGTGTAAAATAGTTTCATCCTATGGGTCATTTACAGATCATTGTAAGTAAAAATATATATAAAAAAACATGTTTTTCCAAATGATATACAAGCTGAGTTGTGTATATATAGAACTAATTACCAATGGTGGTGAGCTTGTGCTCTGAAACCCAGGACTGAACTGCCTCCATGTTGTGTCTTTGCTCTTATGCTGATGCCCTCTTCTTGATCTGGGAAGTGTATTTGAGGAATTAGTAGTGAAGGTGATGAATGGTGCGAAGGGAAGGGAGAATATTTATAGAAGGTGGGTGGGGTTGATGTTGAAATTTGTGACTTTGGTTTTGGTGCTTGGGTTGGCCCATGGGTTTAGTGGGGTTTTGGCTGTTTGGTTGGAGATTGGAACATTGGAACGGAGTTAAACTAGAGGCTTACTTATCCTGGTTTTGTTCTGTGTATCCACTTCTGTCAGTCTATTGATTTGCTTTATTACAATCATGTGGCATGCACAGTGAGCCAACGGATTTTGTTTTTTTCTGGGATCAGTGGTGCTGATACCGAGGATACATGAAACCGCTTGTGTGTCATCGCACTGCATCTAAAACCTTAATATAGCCAATAGAAACATGTTATTTGTCACTCCCTAGAATAAATTGAGTAATAAACTGTTTCATACACGTGACCATTGGTAAGTTCTTAGAATGTAACTATCATTTTTCTTGACTTGGGATGATGTGAATCTTTTAATTTGTTGTTTCCTAGTTAAATACTTCTCTAAGCTGAAAGGAATTAACATTTTTAAATACTCTCTCACTTGTTAATAATGTTATTTATACCAAGAGATTTCTTAAACAGTTGTTTTCTGACTCCTAATAAGGATTGAACTCGGAAATAAAAAAATAAAAAAAAATGCCTATTGATCCCAAGTTTTAAATTATCATAAAGCCTAACAAACAATTACTTGACCGTTCAGTTTAAAATATGTTTATTTAGGAACTCACACTTTGAAAATGAAAACTATAACAAACACATGAGAATCAAAACCTTTTTAGTGTAATTGGTAAATGAGAGAGATACAGTTGTGTTTTTTAGTATTTTTATTGATTGTGTACATGTAATATATTTAAAATAATTCTAATATTTTAACTATATAAAAAGTCTCACAGAAAAAGTCTTAAATGTCCTTCTCTTTAAATGTAGATTTTACGGCAACAAAGTGATCATAATTAAAGACACTTAAGTATGGTAAATATGAATTTAAAAGTATAAAGTATCAGAAATTTTTAATAGTAAATAGCTTTAGACACTCATTAATGTCAAATTATATATTTAATAATTTTTAATTTAAATTTTGAATCAATAATAAGAATTAGTTTAATGTACTATTATTAAGACTAAATTATAAATGTTGAGTTTAATTGACATATTTTAATTTATACAAGTATATATTATTAACTAATTAAAAACATATAACATACTTTTTAAATGTTATTAGAATTAGTAATTAACAAATTGGCACAATGTTACAGTAAAGTGTTGTATCATCCAAAATAGTTGAATGATCTTTTATTTTCCTTAATATATATATATTAAATTACATTTTATTACAATATACAAAATTTGAATGATAAAATGCAAAAGTTAATTTAGGAATATAATTTTAAGTTTTTTTTTAATTCTAAATTAAATTACAAATTTTAAATATATAAAAGATTCAAATTAATTTTAGAAATATTTAACATAAGGTGAAATTGTTAATAATATATATTGAGACACCCAAATAAATAATACATACACTTTTTTATTTTCTCCCAATTGGGTGAGTCACAAACCTATGCAATAAAATGTTATAAAGCTAAAAGAAGCATTGGATAACGGAAGACTATTGTACTCACAAATAATTTTAGAATCACCCTTTTATTCTGAATAGCAACCAGGTCCAAAGAAGGGTTCCAAATGTATACATAAATTAAATTTCACTTCAAAACCAATTTTAACTCAAATAAATTTTATATAAACACATTCAATTTGCATTAAAAAAAACTCATTTAAACAGCACTGACAAATGGTTGTTTTCCAACTGACATTTCCCGCCATGGAGAAAGAGAATAATATGACAGAGAAAGCATGAGAAATGTGAGTGCGTGATTTCACGGCCACAGAAAACGAAACAGTTGAAATGAAGAACGCTAATGGCACGGAAAGAAGACGAAAGCCTCTTTCCCATCTCACCAATTCCAACCTCCTTCCTTCTTCATCATCTTCATCCTCAGTCAACACCAGACGCGGTACTTCAACTTTATGCATTACAATTTTGCATCAATTTTGGTCACGTCACACCAATAATTCCAGCTTAAATAACACTCTATTAAGCGTATTTGTTTCTTACTTTATGAAACAGACCACGATTTCCGTTCTTTGACTTCAGGTACTGTTGCCATTGATGTTTCTGAACCAATTTCAGCATTCTGCGCCCGAATACATACTTTGAATCAAAATAAAAGGAACGCAAAAAAAGCAATAGCCAATCCAAAAATCTCTTCGATTCGGTGCCAAATAATAACTATTCCCTCTTTTAAGTCATTTTAAGTTCAATTATACAATAGTTTAGGGAAACGAGCTTTTAGCTATTAATCTCTCGTCTTTTTACCTATAGTTAATTTCTCGTTTTGTCACGGAACGAAGTTTCTTTCCTGCCAAACAGGGATAAAAGGGATGGAGTTAAACTTGAAGGTTTGGGTCTGCCTAAGGCTAGGGTTTTACCAGTTTCTTGCAGGAAGGTTTAAATTCTTTAATATTCACTTTATGTATGATGGTTTTACATATTTCTATGGTATAATTGAGTGTGATTTATTTAATCATTATTAGAGTAGCTATATGGTTCTTAATGGATACTTTGCTCAAGTGCTTGATGATATCTGCTGAGTTTTCAGAAGAAGCATGCTGTGTCGTGTGAAGAAGACGTATTCAAAGATGCTCAGCTTCAAGATTATATTGAAAAACAGAATGCCTACTTTAAAGAGGTTGATGAATATGAACTACCAGAAGAGGAGGTTGAATCTGTTCATGAACTGGATTAAGAGGAACACGTTAGTAGGACTGGCAGCTTGAGACTCCTTCCAAGTTCCAATCCTTGTTTTGGTTGTAATGAGAAAATGAAGTAACTAGGTTAATGTATAAATATGAGAGTGTAAGTTCACTATAATCTTCCCATTTTTCTGATGTAGAATTCAAAGAAAAGTTGTTTGACCCTGACCTATTACACTTACCACGTTAATTGACCTTGAAAAATCTATTTTTTTGCACTTGTGATAAATTTCTCCTGGGAGACTTTTGAATATTCTAACGATTTAAGAATTTGTGATTGGATATGCCTTGCCTTGTTTTATACATTGGTGATTCTTCTGAGAGCTTTAATAGATATAACCCTTCTGGAATTTTAAATCGTCAATGTTTAACCTCATCTAGTTGCATTCCTGAATCAATTACAGGATCCACATAGCTTATTATTACAGTGTAAACAAATTTAAGGACTGATATCAATATGATGAAAAAAAAGAGTGAAAATCCACGTAAACTGTAAAATCGATGAGTTGTATGAATTAGGTATCTAATATTTTTAAATAGTATCATAGTCAACTCTAATATTGATGGAATATGAAAAATTCTCACCGAAGTGAGGTGAGAATAAGTATATAACTGAGTACGATCCTGATCGATTTTGAAGGAATAAGTTGATATCTTATCATTTCTAATATAATGATATTATTTTTATGCCACTTCTTCATGATCGTGGAGTTACAGGTTCTTTTGGTCGAATATGTTAGCAGGGAAGATAGGAAGCTTGACAAAGTCATGTAAAATGAAGTGGTTTATTGATGTTTAATCAGGTAGCTTGACAACCCAAGAATACATAACTTTGGAAGAAAAGATGGATCATTGATATATATGTTTAATTGACTTTTCTGCAATTGATTCTGATCTGCCCCTCGTTTCCTGTTAGAGGCTTGATATTGCTCAGTTTGACCATGCCCTTGGCAAAGGCTTTGAAGAATGCAGCTGTATTAGTAGCATATTTCTTCACCAATTTGTTGGTGGAACCCCCATTGACTAGCTCCTGGTCAGAATGAAGAAGACCCTTTTTAGCCAGTAAATTCTTGAAGTATAGATTATCGAAATGGGTAGGAGATTGAAGGTCAAGGGGTGCGAGTGAATCGTCATTTCCACTTATGGGGCACTTGCTATGTAGGGACTTGGAAAAGGAGGCATCAATGTCGGAATCATTGTAGATGTGTGCTCGGAATGTTAAACATCTAGCAAGACCAATGGTATGTCCACCTGTTATTGAAGATAGTCGAGTGAATTGAATTATTTCTTAGGTATAGTATGTCAAACCCTTCTTCCAAGCAAAAACTTTTGAAGAAACAGATTGATAATTTTCTGGGAATAAATAGGTAGAGCAAGCCTCTTAATTAACACTCTCTCAATTTCTCTCGTTCTATTTCAATCTAAAATAGCCTAGAAATATTCTTGACAAAGCATTTTTTCAGTACCCTACCCGGTCTTCATCAGATTTGACACACGTCTAATTTTATGTGTTTAGCACATAGTACCTGAAAGAACCACCAAGTCCTTCACAGAGAGCCCTTGGTTGGCGAAATTCGTTTTGAGGGCAGTTAAATTGAGAAAGGGTGCAGGAATGGAGTTATTGGCATCAGCTCTGCTAGCTGTGATAGAATCCCTTCTCCCCAAGTCTACTTTCCACGATGGTCCCCCTAGCTGTAAATTTCAAGAAACTTTGCCCCATCAAAACAAATGTTTTCCCCTTTTATATTTTTAAGGGTCTTAGTTACTACTAGGATTGTTTATTACATATACAACAGAGTCTCGAGCAGCCAGAGCAAGAATATCAGCACAGGACACAACCCCAGGGCATGCTTTCTCCACCTCGGCTTTAATGTCATCGATCACGTTGAACCCTGTGGCTGAATTATTATTAGGTGCTGCCGTTTTCTCTCCTATGAAATTGCTTGTATCATCCAACAGTATAGATGCATCACAGCCCTGATCATTGCGTTAAGTAAAGCCAAATCAAGTAAAGTACAAGACTTATGTGAAGACAAATTAATGTATATACTCACGTTTACAAAGCAGTCATGGAAATGCAATCGGAGCAAGGAAGCTCCTATGCGAGTTTCATCTTTAATGCCTTTTATGACTCCTTGTTTCACTACAGGCAACAGCTTCGGGCAACTGCTTGAGTAGAAGTCTGGGGATAACTTCTTTTCAGCATCTGCTTCAGAAAGTGCTATAGCACCAACAAGAGCAAACAGAAGGAAGTGGTAAGAAGCCATCTAAACTTTCATAGAGTACGCATAAACCAAATAATTGGTGTGTTCGCGTTGCTTCTATATAATAACAATGTGGTCAGTCAAGTGAATCAATCCTGTTCGAGTTGCTTTTACATAAAAGTAAAAATGATGCAGCTAGTCTTTTCATGTTAAAGCTCATGGCATGTGAAGTACGTAATTTTCTTTTTCTTTATGGCCATGATTAACGTAATGGATTTCCCCTTCAGTAAAAAAATAAAACACATGTACACAAAATCCTTATCCTTTTTTTTCCGTATATTACAGAAGTAAATAAAATATGAAAAAAGGATTATATTTTGAATGTAGGATCTGTGACCGCAGGCAATCGTGAACTAGATTAATTTCGAAGGTTTAGTTTCCATTTTTTTTTCTGAAATTATATTTAGACAGACACCATTAAGGTGATAGAATAAAGTTTAGAAACAGTAAGGTGTATTTTTTACCAGAAAGTTTAGAAACACTAATGTTAGAGAGATATATATAGAACTAGCTATGATTAAATGATGCAAACGCACAGAAGTTCGTATATTTTTTTTGGTATAATTGCTAATATAAGTGTGTGTATACTTTCTGCTTTTTTCTTTTCATGATTATCCTCACTCTGAATTTGTACAAAAAAGATCCTGGTGGTTGTAAGGATCAGGCATTATTTAGTTTCTGCGTTGACCTTTAGTTTGACACGAATAATTTTTATTTATTTTTTTAGTTCTGAGAATTTTTAAAATTTAAAACGCACAATTATATGAAAAGTCATTTTGTTTGGCATATGGTTGTGCCACTTCTGATGGGTTACTCGTACAGGGGCCCAATCAATACCATCTTGTGAGGGGATCAGGAGACTGTTATAGATCAGCCAGAATTTACTGGGCTTTTGGGACCCGTTGACAAATCCAATCAATCTCACCTACTTACTCCTGGCCAGCTATTCGCACTTCCCTCATTTCTATTTAAACCCCCAATATGTTTGTATTATTTTTTATTTAATGAAAATATGGCCAAAAAAAGATAAACTTTCTTTTGTCTACTTAGACCATATACAAAATTTTAAATCATTCCATTTTCATGAGTGTAAAATAAACAAATTTTCATCAAAATATAGTTTTAAAAAATTTACATATATTAATAATATATGTCGTCGTGCCTCATTCGGCCAGATTCGTAAAGACATGACTCTGTTAATATTATTATCATATAATTAATTAATATTATTATTTGACGATACATATAAAAAATATTCTAAAAAAATAAGAATTATAATTAGTTAAATATTTAATCAGGAACTAAAACCCCAAAAAAAAGAATTGAAAAGATAGTAATTACTTAAAAAAAGTCATTAATGTAATTGTAAACTTTAGAGCATGTTGTCTATTGATGAAATATGACGCAAAACATGATAATTTTAAAACTATACAAAATTATAAGAAATTGAAATAGCAAAATTGGGTTAGATATCACATGCTAACCCAGGAGTTCCACTAAAATTTGTAAAATATCTAATGTAGTTCAAACTTTCAATTTATTTCATCTCGTCTCCACTTTAATTTTATGAGCGTCTTTGTATTTGCAAACCCGAAAAGAGAAAGCTATTATTCTCTCGCTTCTAGAATGATTGATGTTTTAGTATTTTTATTTTAAAATATTGACATTTTACAAATATTCTATTTAAAATTATTGTATTTCATCTTTAGATTTTAATTTAATCTATAGGTATTTTTTCTTTGTAATCTTAAAAATTAATTCGGAAACAGAGGAAAGGTAAGAATCTGCTCACAATTCTTAATATTGTTCAAGTAGGATTTTGCTACTCATAAAAGAATTGAAAATTGCCACACCCTACATGGAAGAACTATATAAACTCTTTTTATACAACATAATCACAAATTTAATAACAATTAGAAAATTTTGTTGCTAAGCTACCTACCTACCTCACTAGTAATTTGTTCTTCTTGTCTCCACTTCAGTAGAGAAAAACTAACCAACAATACTATGGGAATTTTTGAACACTTTGTATGGGAAATTTTATTTATTATTTTGTTTTAAATCTATAAAACTTTATATATTAAATTTTGCTTTATTTCTCTCTTATTTCATTACTTTATTTCTTTTCTCCGTAGAAGAGTGTTGGAGAAATTTTGATCTCAGAAAATATATTAATATTTAAAAATATGTGGCATCAAGTAGGACCTTTCTAAAGGTATAACACACCCAAATTTCCAACTGTGCCACGATTTGTGGGATTGGCCTCTCACAGTTAGAGAATTGGAATCTGAATGTCGAAACCTGGAATGTTATTACTGACAGACACTGATTCCTTCCGTGGCACATAAACATGTTATTCTCCTGTCTACTTCACTTTTCTTATCTCTATTCTTTTCTGACTTCACATCCAACGATTCATGTTAAAGATGCTGCATGCATAATCACTTTGATGTCACCCATGATTGGTAGTGTTCATCACTAGGAGTCACTTGTTGTATACCAAAGAATCTATTATCGTTTCTCTGTTGCTCCTTCTTTTCTCACCAATTGCCAAGGAGCCACCATTGCACACGCATCCTAAATGATTGGTTACAAAGCTAAAAGGCCCAGAAAAGAATTACGTATACCTTTCTGATTTGACTTTGGATTACTACCCTCTATAATTAATGAGCATGGACTCCTATCATCACTAAATCGAAAAAAAATATCATGGTCTTGATCAATCTTTAATTAAGACTTGATCACATTTTATTAGTTCTTTATATATAGATATTTTCTCTTGTAGTTGAGTTAACTTATATGTAATACAAATCTTAGATAGCCATGTTGTCTCTTTTCGGCTTCTCCTTAACAAGATAGTTATTGATTAACTTGTTATAAAGTTCAAAGATGTGAGACTAACAACAATCCAAGCTAGTGAAGGAGACTGTTGCATAGTGTAACCTCATTGTCAAGGTATGGAAAGTACGTACAAAGCACTGATGTGTATGGTTTCTTGAGGAATCAATTTCAAGAAGAAGGTGGAATACTGTAGACGATGGATGACCCTAGAGTACTAAAGAGGGGTCAAAAGGGGTGTGTCCAAAGCAGGGTTTTGTACTCTTGTTATATGAGCCATAGAAGTAGTCTCTTTCGGTCTCTTTCTTCCCGAGTACCGCCAGCAGGGCACACATTATTCACCAGGTTTGGACTTGGGTAGGGTTTATGTCATTGAGGTGTTTGCCCTCAATGCTATGCAACACTTTTACTCTCACATTTATATATACATGTATACATGATCCACAATGAGATCACTTAATCAGAAGCTGAAGAAGAATATTTATGCGGGTCTCATACAGAAAAATCCTGTTCACAGATTATTGCAGTGTTTGTTTCTTGGCAACACCACACATACAAGATATACCCCTCAATTATTGATCAAATTGTACACTGACTTAATTGCATTGAACTTGTCTATTGGCCTAGCTAGCTAACGACTTATTGTGGTTGGACCATTAAATGGTTGTGTAAACTCGTAGTTAGACTCAGAAAACCAGCACGCATATGAAATGACTAGCTAGAATATGATGGCTATAAATATGTCTGTCCTATCTTTAAAACGTTCCAATATTGAATTAAGTAAATGTTAAACGGAGTGACCCATTTAGATGAGATTAGCTGCTAATAGTTTAACACGTAGTAACAATGGAGGACTGATTAAGGAGGTGACGTAAATATCAATGTGACAGTATATTAGACAGCATTAACCTAACCTATGAGAATGAGATTCTTATCATTTAGTACCTGAGAAAATATCTACCACCCCATCAAAGCTCTCATCGCATTAGGACCTTCATTTATGGAGCCAACAGAATGTGGTCCATGCGTTTGCCAGAGATTGTTGATCAAGTCAAACATATGTTTGTGTTGCAAGTAATAACTATATAGATATGCACCATCGAGGTTGGATCTAATTAAAGACCCTATTTTTTTTTTCTCATCGTATATGAAAGTGTTTCGAAGAAAAAAATGTTTTTAAAAGATTACGTGTGAACAAAAAAAAAAACATAGGTTGATTTGTGAATGATGGGAAAACTGAATGGTAATGGGAAAAACATGCTCTTGGGTATTATCGTGTGCAACTTTTGTCTCCAAAACAGGTTCTATATCGATGCAACAGGTTCATGGTAGTTGGTAACAACTTTAGGGCCATATCCACGTGGCTATCACTAGATTCTTGTCCCTCCGTGATATTAAAAACCATACAACACATCTTTTAATTAAATTGTCAAAAGAAAAGAATAAATCACCGATTAATTTATTCTTTAAACCGTTATTCTCTTTCTCTTAACTATTCCTCAAATAAATATTTAAAACATTGAATATTATTTTTTTATAAAATGAGTATTTATTACTAATTAGTTTTTAAATTATGTTAAAAATATATACTTTATTTTTTTTATTTAAATAGTGTATTAAGATATTTTTATTATCTTTTTATAATAAGATAAAGAGATATTAAATTATTATTTTGATTTAAATAGTTATGATTCATATATGATTAATAATTGATATTTCATCATATTAATGAGCATATGAATAAAAAGATGGAAACATACTCATATGAGATATATTTCATATATAAAAAAAACACATATAGAATAATTTTAGAAATTTTCTTCAATAATATCAAGAGTTTGGTTCTGACAAAAAGAAAAAGAATAAAAGGATAAAGAAGTTTTTAACAAGTCATTATTTCAAATTTCAATGACAAAAGATATGATCTATGGACTCGTGAAAATGCAATCCTATACTAAAAGATTAAATTTATGAGAAACTATGGAAGAAGATTACATCATTGATTTATTACTTGAAAATTATACTTTAGCCTAAATAAAAAATCCACAAGAGAGAGATGAGGAAGACAAAAGTGAAATAATATTTATATGCAGGTACGTATTTTACAAATTATTCTCATCACAATCTTAACCTTAAAGTCATTTAAAGGAATTTAGGATTATTTTCAAGAAGAATATAAAATACTCACAAGGTGAAGGAAAAAATTTTTGAACCTTGAGAAGAAGAAGACTAAAGAGATATTGAAAACCAAAGATTAGGCTCTAAAGTTAAATGTTGAAGAACTTGAAAAAGATGATCCTAAAATTGAGAAGATTAAGGTTGAGATAAAAAAAATACAAATTGAAGAGTTTAAACTTGTCATAAATTGTCTTTATTGAAAGACAATAAAACAAAGAAAATCATGTAGAATGTGTGTCCTGGTAAGAAAGTGTCTTCTTCACATTATTTTTTATGAAGAAAAAATCAATAGAAGATTAAGAAAACAAATTTCAACATGTGGGTTAAATTAAAGACAATCAACATAGAAAGGAAACATTCGGAGAAGAAAATATTATGTAGCAAAAAAATTAAATGAAGTGATGATCACATAAAAAAAAGAAAGTATATCAAATTCAAATAAAAATATTAAAATAAAAGTAAGGTTAAGAATATAAATTTTATTATCTTTTATTTTAAATTAAGTATTAAGAGATTTTTATTATTTTTAGAATAATAAATAAAAAATATTATATTATTATTTTTATTTAGATAATTATGATTGAAATCATATTAATATGTAATATTTTATCTTATAAATGAAAGAATACAAAAATAAAGACATACCCATTTAAAATATATTTCATATATTAAAAATACATATACACGATAATCTTAAAAAATCTTAAAATTTTTTCATAAGAGTACTAAAATGACAACTATAAAGAATATATTATTAATTTGTTTTCCATTTACCCTGCTCAATTAGATTAACACCAATTTTTAGTAAATTATACGTACTATTCTTTCCAATTTCATCCCTTGGCTCTAAGTCATCCATTTTCAAAAAAATGTAAACATATTCTGTAGTTTACGATGAACCCAAAAAGAAAGGGCATTGATTAACGACGGAAATGGATATTTGTGGGATCATAGATGTCAACAACCCACAGATTTCAAAATATCTATTGTAAGATTGGTTAAGAAAATTACATATAATGCCCTAAAATCATTGACATTAATGAAATTTAAAACAACATTATACGTTTCCCTTTCTGAACTAACCTTGTTTTCTAGATTTCAATCTCTTTAATAGGAAATAATCTTATATTCTCAAGCTAACAGAGGTTAGAAAGTTAAATGAACAAAAAAAAAATAAGAAAAGAAACTACTTTAGTTTAGGGAAAAACATTATATGATCTTGAGACATCAATTTTTATTTTAATCTTCTTTAAATAAATATGGATTTTCGAAAAGAATGTTTATAAACTAGTTTTTTACAGCATAAACTTTTTCTTTTTATAATCTATTACAAAAAGTTTGAATTTAAACTTGTAAGAAAACTACTAAAATCTCTGACAACTAAATATGCTCTAATGGATTTGAAGGTATTACAAACATTACTTTATTATAAAAATATACTAATTTTTGTTATCATTGAGTCTGATGTGGAAGAGATGTTGATGGGTACACAGGTATTCACCAAACGTTACCCAATTGTTAATGTGTGATTTATAGTTTGTAAAGGAGTTGCAAAAGTTGAGTCAAAGATCCTGCAGGAGGTAAAGTGATATAATTATACGATAATGTGATTTTGATATATGGCAGAGATAATGGGTCGGTGCAAATTTATACCCTATTCATCCACACATCCATTCCTCAACAACCCATTGAGGTGAGGGTGGAGCTACCTCATGTGCCCACCATTGCAAACTTGTCTTCTGTCATTCACTGCAAAAGCTACCACATTTTCACCCAATTTGTGGTTCTAGATTTTCCAATTCTAGTCGACACTTAAGTACCACCACCAGTTTTTTCAGTTAGATTTATATTATTGGAGTTCAAGTTAATTATGTCTGTTCAAGTGAATATATATAACCTGAGAGAAGAAACTCCACTATAGATCAATCATGTTCTTTTGATAAGAGTATAAATTAACAACCTTTAGGGTTATTCGAGAGTATAATCACATAAACTATTTAGGTTAGTTTAATAAATAATCACAAGCACAAAAGAATTTTTATGGAATTGTTGATTGTAACTTTTTTATTATTTTTTCAGGTTATTTTCAAACGAATATAATGTGAAAAGATAAGACAAATTATAAGTTGATATTTATTTTTTGTGCTATAAAACGAATATATTATCTATTTTATAAATCACTCCAAATCTTTTTTTTTTCTACTAGTGTATTACATAGTAGTTGAATTATCTTATTTCTTAAAAATGATATTATTATTGTATTCTCCTAAGATTTAAAAAGAATATTATAATTTTTTCCGATAGTAAAATATTTTCTCATTTTTTATTTTAGTTGTGAGTTCTTATGTAGTTATTCTGATTCTTAATAGTAGTATCAGAGCCGCCTAGGCTTTTCTTATTATTTCATGCTTTGTAGTTGCGGTTAATATGATCTTCCACAGTTATTACTGAATAAAAAGTATAGTTCTGGATATAAAATATGGTAATGTAACAGTATGTCTAGGAAAAGTTCTGGTAAGGAAAAATTTGATATTTAAGTTTGTCTAAGGTACATAAGTCGGTTAAAATCATGATAACAAAATATGAGATGAATAAGTTTAATGGGAATAACTTCTCATTGTGAAAATTGGGGATGAAAACAATTTTGAGAAAGACAATTGTGTAGAAGAAATTGGAGAAATATCGTGAGCATAACATAGCGAAGTGAAGATGAGAAGAAATTAATAACAATGTTATAGCAAATTTGTGAATGATACAACGAAGGAGATTTGGGAGTCCCTCGTCAATTTGTATCTGGAAAAAACACATATTGGACTTGGTTTATTATGATGTGTTGGAATCATCAGTATTATCCCTAAGAGAGGCCAAATATTTTATATTAGTTATGACAATGATTACTCTAAAAAATTGTGAGTGTACTGCATCAAAAGAAAGTTTGTGTTTTCAAAGTTTGGGAAAGACAAATTCTTGAACTATACTAATAATGTGAAGGGGTATTTCTTGTGAATCTCATTATCCACAAGATTATTGTTAGTATTGATACAAATATCATTTTTCTTCAAGGTGAACTTAGAGAAAGGATTGGTGTGCTTCAACTAAAAGACTTAAAATAAGACATTTCACAAGCAGTGGAAGCGATTAATATATCAATGACAAATTGTGATAGAGAGCATGAGTATTATCAAGAGAATTCTTATCAAAGGAACCTTGAATGTTGTATTATATTTCGGAGGATCAAAACTAGTTGTCAGATGTTATGTTTGTTCAAGTTTTGCAGGTAATCTTGATGAGTTTACCTTTATGGAGAGACAATAACTAGTTATCCAAGTTATGAGATGTTATAGTTCTGTCTATCACAAAATCTGAGTATATGGCAGTCATCCAGACATGTAAGGAAACTATTTGGATTAAGAGAATAATGGAGGAACTCATACACAAGCAATAACACAATTTTGTGTATTGTGACAATCAAAATGTCTTGTATATCACAATGAATCCTACCTTATATTTTAAGACAAAGCAAGAAGAACCTAATATATGTGTTGTTGGAATATTAATAATAATAATAATAATAATCTTGATTTTGATTCTAACAATCAAACATAAACATAATCTCATACTGATAAACATGCTGTAAACTGAATGCGAAAGCGTACCTGAATTAGCCATAACGATGATGTCTTTGTAGAAGCACTATATTGATCTTATGGTCTTCCACCCGAAGAGCACATGTATTTCCCTCTTGATTTTCTCTCTTGATGGGGATAGAAAGAAAGGAACAGGACTCGATACTTACGTTCGTGTGTGTGCTCTCGAAGGGGACCATGACCCTTTAGATAACCGGAATTAGGTTAATTACTTAAGTTTTAGTATTTCCAATTTGGCCCCTCATCAAATTAGAAATTGCTCTATGGTCTCTACACAATTTTATTTTCATGACATATGCTTTTAGCCAAAACTTTAATTTAGTCAGATCACTTTATTATTTGGCTTAATAAATAATGGCCCTAACACATTTAAATTATGTATCATATATATACATGACCCAAATTTTTCCAACAATCTCCCACTGGTCACAAATATATATGTCCTTACAACCTTACAAATGTGTTAGACTTTATGAGCTCAAAAGTGCCATTATATTCCTTTAGCATATTCCAAAAGTCCTGTCCATTAATCATATTAGGATATAGAACCAAACCAGTTTTTCATTGCATCATCGCAACTAAAACCAACAATGATTACTCATCCTAACATAACCAAATGACATGGATTCATCATGAAATGTGTAACATGAAAAATTACGTGAAGGTGATCTGTACACGTCTATTTTCAACTGGTCCAAACTTTAAGTTATTGAGATCGATATAATATCCTTAATGTACAAAGTGTAATGAATGAACGAAAAAACCGCATATCTATAGATAACCAAATATGTCCAAAAAAACAATGTATACATATATGAAATTAAACATAGAACATAAAATATATGAAAGTGACTAACTCCCACTAAACCACAAATTCCTCAAACTGTAAAACACCCATGTGAGCAAAATGCTCATGAAAGACCTTGGGCGGAAGTCCTTTAGTCAGAGGATCTGGTATCATGGAGTTTGTCCTTAAGTGTTCTATGAAAATCTGTCCACTTTGTACTCTTTCCTTAACAATACAGCTGATTTATTGTCACAATATAACTTAAGTGGTCTTTCAATGCCTTTCACAATTTGCAGCCCTATGACAAAATTTCTCAGTCATATTCCATGATTTGATGCCTCATAATGCTACAAATTCTTGACATCCTGCAAAATCTGAGTCAGAAAATCCAGCGATCTCCAACTGGTCTGACCTCCTGTATGTGAGCATATAATCTTTTGTTCACTTTAAATATCTTATGACCCTTTTTGTTGCTTTCCAATGGTCTATTCCTGAATTGCTTAAATATCTTCCTAGAACCCCAACTATGTATGCTATGTCTGGACGCGTACATACTTGGGCATACATCAAATTCCCTACAGCTGATGCATAGGGAATCTTTTGCATTTTCTCAATTTCCAAATTCCCTTTGGGCACTAATTTAGACTAAACTTGTCTCCCTTAGTAACTGGAGTATCCCCGGCTCATGACACACAGGTTCTTGAGGATCTTGAGTTTGGTCTTGACGAACAATGAAATCATCTTGAATATGGGGTTTATCATCAATGCCTTGTGGAGGTTCCGAACTTACTTTATCAAAAGTAACTATTTGAATCGGTTCTGAAATTGTTACCGATTCTTCCTCCAAGATGAAATTCTTAATCTTATTCTTCCCCCCAAACTCAATATCCTCAAAGAACGTAGCAGTTCCCGTCTCAAAAAATTGTCTTTAATGTGGGATCATAATATTTATATCCCCTGGATCTTTCAGCATAACCAATAATATAACCACTTACTGTTCGAGAGTCCAATTAAACTAATTATGCTCACATTATATAAAAAATAAATAATATATATTCAAATAGTGGTTTAACCCATCTCAAGATACCCAATGCACCATCAATATCAAGTTTTTGGACAATAATATTAACTGCTAGAGGTATCTTGTTGTAATAATCAAACATTGACAATAAAGCACGTCCAACAACAAACCAGTCTTTGGATTGATTTATCATCGACAAAGCAAATCCTTATAATTATCACATGTTTATCATTACAAGTGTGTATGCAATTCGGCCAAATATTAATCTTCCTTTGGGCCGACTAATACTCGCATGAATATACACAAACACTAACATTCAATATTTTTCATGAACTGCCCAATTCAAGAGAAGTTACTTTGGTGACTTCTTGACTCAATTTGCTCACAAAAAATATTAAACTACCAAAAATTGAATATTTTATTTATATAACAAAACCAAATATTTAATATTTGCAAACTAATTCAAAAGAGAATCACCTCATTATAATTCTACTAAGGATGAACACCTCCCTAGAATCTCATTAGGCATGAACACCTCATTTGAACAAATCAAAGGATGAAAAAAGGCCTCATTTTCCACCAATACATAAAGGATGAACATCTTCCTAAAATCACACTAGGGATGAAA